TATTGGTTTGACCTGGCTTTGAATAAGAATAATTGGCAGTTTACTTAATGGGTTATTGTAGGTTATTAAAGAGCTACTTCCTCTATCTCAAAAGCCACTCTTGTCATTCAGTCCTTGTTCCTAAATTGTTACCACATTTGCCAAACAGAAATTCAGCTTATTATGGCTAAAGCACTATGACTACTGAAGTCACTCCTTAAATGCAAAGGGCTATCACAATTTAATTAGCAAAACTACCACCCAGGATGTTATCTCTCAGACTCTGACTCACGGGGTCTAGGATGGGACCCAAGAACTTACGTTTTCCTTAACCATCTTCGGTGAGTCTGGTATCTGGACTATATTTTAATAAAAATTCTACATGTATAGATTATGTATAGATTACATAAGAACTACATATTAATTATTAAATGTCTTAGACTTATCTGAAATAATTTTGTTCCCCAACGCATGTTGGAGGATTGGAACACAAAAAAGGTAAGTTTCAAGAGAGGGTTGTGGCAAGAAGAAAGTATGTAGCACGGGACAGTTGTCTGAGAGGACAGGCTCGGGCTGGAATCTGGGCAGGGAGCCCTGGCCGAATAATCAGAATCAGCCTAAGGCCGTTGGGTGCATTGGAAGGCAGCAGGGCCAAGACTGAAGTGTGGCTAGGAAGTGTCTAGGGAGGGACTCTGTGGGATTTATTCTCAAGGTGGTACAAAAATGGGGGCTTTCTTCCATTTTATACCTTGGGCACCTCACTCACCTACCCCAGTTGTAGCTCTGGTAGCTTCTAAAGAAGCTCCAAATGATCACCCCCTCCTAGTATTCACCCCCTTGTGTATTTCACTGCATTAGTGTATGGGCTGGACCTAATGAGTCATTTCTGAGAACATAGCAAAGGTGATGGATGTCATTTCCATGAATAGGTTATTAAAGACTATGACTTCCACTGTACACACCCACGTTTGCTCTTTTTTGTTTTCTGACTCTGATGAAACAAGTTGCTATTTGTGACTTATGACAATAATTGAGGCTTAATGACATTTCTGCTCTACTGAGAAGACTCTGTGGCAGGGAACTGAGGGTGGCCTCCAGAAAACAACCAGTAAAGAGCTGACACCTTGAATTCAGTAGTACCCAAGGCACTAAAGTCTGCCAGCACGCACAAGAGTGAGTTTGGTGGTAGATCCTTCCCCCACTGAATCTTCAGTGGGACGACAGCCTCAGCTGATGCTGACTGCAGTCTGGGAGAGACCCTGAGCCAGAAGCCCCAGCTAAACCACAAGCAGACTCTTGCCCACAGAAATCATGAGACAGTAAAGAGTGTTGTCTTAAATCATTGTTTTGGGTATTTTTTTTATCCAGCAAAAGGTGACTGATACAATGCATAAAGCTATTGGTGGTCGTGGAATGTTGGTTGCTGAACATGAAGAACAATATAAACAAGGAAAAGTGAGGCATTACCAAGACCCACTGAATTCAGTTTTGTGTGTTTTGGACAGCTGTGTCCGGGCACAGTGCTTCCTCACAGGAGTTGCTTCTTTTTCTTCTTTACATCCTGCAACCCTTGCTCTTCTAAAACTAAGCTGGAGAGTTGCCTTAATAGGGCTGACTGCTAAACTTTGAAATTCCTTCTATTAAATCCTCAAGATTATTGCTATCACCGCCCCCATGTCTATCATGAACTCCTCTCCTGAAATCTGCCATGGTTCCCAGTGAGGTAGTGACTTAAGTAGTAGTGATAATCTCTTCTACCCATTTGAGTTATTTTCTGTCTTCCAGTCACAGTCACTGGAACACAAAAATTAAAATATTGGCATTGCAAGGATGTGGAGCAACAAGAACTCTTATACATTGCTAGTAGAAATGCAAAATGGTATGCCACTTAGGAAAACACTATGACAGTATCTTATGAAGTAATATCTAAATCTACAATATGATAATAATCAAACTCCTAGGTATCTATTCAAGAATAAAAACTTATGTTCACCCAAAGGCTTACATTAAAGTACTTATAGCATCTTTATTTGCCATAGTCATTGCTCTTTTTTGTTTTCTGACTCTGATGAAACAAGTTGCTATTTGTGACTTATGACAATAATTGAGGCTTAATGACATTTCTGCTCTACTGAGAAGACTCTGTGGCAGGGAACTGAGGGTGGCCTCCAGAAAACAACCAGTAAAGAGCTGACACCTTGAATTCAGTAGTACCCAAGGCACTAAAGTCTGCCAGCACGCACAAGAGTGAGTTTGGTGGTAGATCCTTCCCCCACTGAATCTTCAGTGGGACGACAGCCTCAGCTGATGCTGACTGCAGTCTGGGAGAGACCCTGAGCCAGAAGCCCCAGCTAAACCACAAGCAGACTCTTGCCCACAGAAATCATGAGACAGTAAAGAGTGTTGTCTTAAATCATTGTTTTGGGTATTTTTTTTATCCAGCAAAAGGTGACTGATACAATGCATAAAGCTATTGGTGGTCGTGGAATGTTGGTTGCTGAACATGAAGAACAATATAAACAAGGAAAAGTGAGGCATTACCAAGACCCACTGAATTCAGTTTTGTGTGTTTTGGACAGCTGTGTCCGGGCACAGTGCTTCCTCACAGGAGTTGCTTCTTTTTCTTCTTTACATCCTGCAACCCTTGCTCTTCTAAAACTAAGCTGGAGAGTTGCCTTAATAGGGCTGACTGCTAAACTTTGAAATTCCTTCTATTAAATCCTCAAGATTATTGCTATCACCGCCCCCATGTCTATCATGAACTCCTCTCCTGAAATCTGCCATGGTTCCCAGTGAGGTAGTGACTTAAGTAGTAGTGATAATCTCTTCTACCCATTTGAGTTATTTTCTGTCTTCCAGTCACAGTCACTGGAACACAAAAATTAAAATATTGGCATTGCAAGGATGTGGAGCAACAAGAACTCTTATACATTGCTAGTAGAAATGCAAAATGGTATGCCACTTAGGAAAACACTATGACAGTATCTTATGAAGTAATATCTAAATCTACAATATGATAATAATCAAACTCCTAGGTATCTATTCAAGAATAAAAACTTATGTTCACCCAAAGGCTTACATTAAAGTACTTATAGCATCTTTATTTGCCATAGTCCGAAGCTGGGAACAATCCAGATGCTCATGCACTAGTGAGTGACTGGACTGGCTAAGCACATCGTGGTGCTACAGGTGGTCCCCTCTACCAATTTATTCATCCTCCCTCCCAGGTGACCTCACAGGTAGGCAACTCTCTTCTAGCCCCTAACCAATCACATCCTCAAAGGCTTCAAGTGTGGGGCTCAAGAGTGAGGGCATTGTCTTTTCTGAAGGGAAAGCCAACCAGTGGGACTGTCTGTGCAACTTAGATCTATCTTTCCTTCTTATGGGCCTGTGACAATCACCTGCTAGTGAGCTGTAAAAAGTCTATTGAAGACAAGGTGCTTCTGAGATTTTTGTTGCAGGGATGCAATTCAGAGTCATTAGTGGCCTTCTTAATATTCTGCATCACTAGCTAAGGTTTACCCAGGAAATATCTATCCCCAGCAAAAAAAAAAAAAAAAAGCCTAAGATAAAAGTGCATGCAAGAAGTTCAAAGGGATAAAAGCTGCATTATGGAAACAATGGGAGGGCTGGTATAGGACAAACTGGGTCTCCCACAAACCTCAGTTCCGTAAGAGGCTATCTTGTAGCTCACTCCAGTTCCACTTGATTTTTTTTCTTCTTTTAAGCCTACCCGATGATTCTATAGAGCTATATTAAAACTACAAAGTACATAGAGTATGTCAGTCAGGGCCAGGATGAGACCAAGAAGCTTCTTTTGATTAAGTGAATGGACACAGCAAGCTCAGCACTGGCTTTCCCAAGTCTTCCTGTAGTGGGCCAACCCCTTGTCCCTCCCAGAGAAAAGTCAGATCAGATCTTAGACAAGGCATTGAGAGTTTTCAGAATCTCATGACAACTTCTTCTACATTAATGGTTGCAGGAAAAAGATCATAATAATCATTAATGGTTGCAGAAAAAGATAATAATAATCATTAATGGGTTTTTTTTTCTGGTAATGTTGCAGCATTGTCCTTTCAGATCAATGTCAGGATATCTATCCTTTGTCAAGCAAGTATATATTTCATCTCAACCAACTCCATTCAAGGCCACAATAAGGTCACTGGCTGACTTAAATGAGGGAGGTAGGTTGAACATTTAGAAGAAAGATGAAGGAAGGCACTTTTTATTTTGACTTCAAGTGAGTACTAGTGACTAATCTTTAACACACAAATGTAACTAATGTAATACTATGCCATCTATATGATGATGTGACTCACTGTTATCTCATTTTTTGCTTACTTATATAGTCTTATATGCTTTGCTTAAAGCCATTAATACCACTAAAAGGCGTGACTAAAGACCAGCCCTTTGGGGCTATATCTTGTTCTGCTGAGAGTGTATCTTTGGCTGCCAGGGAAGATGTGTGCATGAATTCTGTCACCTGTGTCAAGGTCAACTACAGCTGGGAGAATGAACTCAGCAGTGGCCGACTGCAAGTCCAAGTTTCAAGATGGTGCAAAGGGATTGATTCAGGCAAGAACCAGATTTTGGGCCAAGTTGAATGCTGTTTCTTGATGAGGAAGAAAGAGAGGGAGGAGGACCTGGAAATGCACAGTCCAGTGGCTGCTGAGATGATACAGCTGCAGAGGCCCTGAATGCTCAGTATTAACTGCACTGGTTTGGGTATTCTCAGTATGTGCAGTGGGTGGCTTGCAGGGAATGGTCACTCAGGGACAGAGGACCTGGTACCCCTGTTCATTCACCCCTTTTCACTGTTCTTGGGACTCCTCTGGGACGTACTAATTCAGAGGTAGTTTTTACTTTGAAAACTTCAAAAGTAATTTTATTCTAGAGGTTATATGTGAAGTGAAAGGCTTGTTTACTCTTAAGTCTGTTTTTCTTAAACCTCTCAACTAGTTCTTTCTAGTTAAATTTGTTTGAGTGGGAGAGAGATTATTCATAGGTGTGGGATTAGCATTAGAAGTTATTCTTTTATTTATTCTCATTCAACAAATATATACTAAGCACTCACTAGATGCCAAGGGTACATGGGCCAAGTGCCTGCTTCAGAGCTTGTGCAAAACCTCAGTTTTGGAGGCATCAGAGTCTTGCTCTCTGCACCCTGGGTCCAACCACAGGGAGCGCCTATGGCCACATCCTCTTCACGCTGAGGCCTTCTGGGGGGTGGTTCTTCATGGAGCTGCCATGGCTGAGGCTCCCTTGGCTGAATCTCTGAGGGCAGCAGCACAGGCCAAGGCTTCCTGTGAGTAATACAGCCTAAGAGGAAAGAAATGAGACTTCAAAGTCAACAGTTTTGCAAAACAAATAAACAGCACTGCAAATACACACATATTCACTTTGCAGGGTAGAAACAACTGTGTTTAGCACACCCAGACCTTTGAGGATAGGAGGTATCTTGTTCTTCTTTTGCATTTCTCATTCAATAAGTTAATAAATACTTAGCCATTGGTTAGCATGACAAATCATTTGGAGAGGGACTTGGATCATGAGGAATCTGCTCATGAATCACTTATCTTCAATGTCAAAACCTTCAAATCAGAAACAGATATTCAATCTCTCTCAGTGTTTTTAGAGTACGGTCTGCAGACCATTTACTACAGAGTCATCTGACTGAGGCCACATTTAGTAATGCTTTTCAAAAATGCAGATTTCTGGCTCTCTTCCAAAGACCTGAATCAGAAACTCAGAGAGTTAGTCCTGGAAATCTACATTTTAATAATGTACACAGGTAGATCTATGTGCACTAAACACAGAATATCTCTGGTTCTGATTTCACTGGCCTCTGTGCAATTTTACTTCACAATTTTACCCTAGATGATGGTTCTACAACACTTCAGGTAAGCATGGGGACCAGACTGAATTCTGGCTCCACCACTGACTAGTTGTGTGACCCTGGTCAAGTTACTTAACTTATCTATACCTCAATTTTTTTTTTCTGTAAAATGTGGGTTATAAAGGCACTTACCATGTATATGTGTCTGAGGTTTAAAAAAGACAATACATACAAAGTACCTTAGAATCATACCTGGCACATAGGAAGCCCTAATAAAAGGTAATTATTATTGTTATTGTTCTTGTTATTAAATTATTAGCAAAAATCATGACTTCCTTTTGTGCAAATGAAGGAGCAACAATATTAGGTAGAGTGTTAATGCCAAGTTAGTGGTTCATAAAAAAAATGCCCTATTGGCCATAGGAGAGAGTATATTAGAGGCAAGCTGGAGACTGAAAACATTTTCTAGAAGGAAAGGAATGTAACAATTACATCTTTCAGAAGATTCTGCTCTAAATCTGTGAAGGTCCTTTGCAATCATCACATCATTTGTACTTCATAAAATTCCATAAGGTTAGTTGAACAGAGACATCAGAGCATGGGGGTAAAAATTCATGGTCTTTGTAGGTGATGGTCCTAACTGACATTTACTATCTGTATAATCTTGATCAAATTATACAATCTGCCTTAGCTGCAGTTTCCCACAGCTGTAAATCTGGGAGAGAACAAGACAGTATGTGTAGAGCTCCTCACACAATGTCTGGAACAAGATAAATGCTTAATAAATATAAGTATCACTATTGTGAGTAAACCAACCCCATGAGTCTAACATCCAGAAAGTGGCTGAGCTGTGGTCTGACCCTAGATCATATTCCTGTAAATCTGACTGTTGTTGACATTTTATAACTTTCTGTACTATGATTTCTTTAAACTCTCTTAATTTACCCAAGAAACCTTGCTTTCTATTGTCTGGGATAATCATTTTTAACTTGGCCTGCTGACCATGTTGATAAAATAGCACACTAGCAGAGGCCAACCTACTTAAATTATTTATCTGGAAACTTGTCTTCCAGCCACAATGAACAAGCACATTCCTGAGGTGCCTGGTTTTGGGTCAGGTAGTTAAACTCACAACTCACCAAGCAGGTGCTGGCGTTGAAGGCTGTGAATATAGAGGGCCTGCAGGGCCTTCCACTGGGCCTGGAGTCATAAATCCTCATGATGCTGTAAAAGTAGCCCTGCTGCCCTTGGTTTAGGTCCTGTTGGAGAAGAGCAGGTGACTTTGATGAGTTGGTGGAGTTCTGTAGGTTTACGAGGGTGGTGTAGTGTACTCAAAGCTGACTGCCTCAGAAATAAAATGCACTCTCGTACATACACACATGTAACAGTTAGAAAAGAATTGGGTAGTTTTCTCCCTTAGTTTACTTAGACAGATATTTTGACTTCAAGTGAGTACTAGTGACTAATCTTTAACACACAAATGTAACTAATGTAATACTATGCCATCTATATGATGATGTGACTCACTGTTATCTCATTTTTTGCTTACTTATATAGTCTTATATGCTTTGCTTAAAGCCATTAACACCACTAAAAGGCGTGACTAAAGACCAGCCCTTTGGGGCTATATCTTGTTCTGCTGAGAGTGTATCTTTGGCTGCCAGGGAAGATGTGTGCATGAATTCTGTCACCTGTGTCAAGGTCAACTACAGCTGGGAGAATGAACTCAGCAGTGGCCGACTGCAAGTCCAAGTTTCAAGATGGTGCAAAGGGATTGATTCAGGCAAGAACCAGATTTTGAATGCTGTTGAAATGCTGTTTCTTGATGAGGAAGAAAGAGAGGGAGGAGGACCTGGAAATGCACAGTCCAGTGGCTGCTGAGATGATACAGCTGCAGAGGCCCTGAATGTTCAGTATTAACTGCACTGGTTTGGGTATTCTCAGTATGTGCAGTGGGTGGCTTGCAGGGAATGGTCACTCAGGGACAGAGGACCTGGTACCCCTGTTCATTCACCCCTTTTCACTGTTCTTGGGACTCCTCTGGGACGTACTAATTCAGAGGTAGTTTTTACTTTGAAAACTTCAAAAGTAATTTTATTCTAGAGGTTATATGTGAAGTGAAAGGCTTGTTTACTCTTAAGTCTGTTTTTCTTAAACCTCTCAACTAGTTCTTTCTAGTTAAATTTGTTTGAGTGGGAGAGAGATTATTCATAGGTGTGGGATTAGCATTAGAAGTTATTCTTTTATTTATTCTCATTCAACAAATATATACTAAGCACTCACTAGATGCCAAGGGTACATGGGCCAAGTGCCTGCTTCAGAGCTTGTGCAAAACCTCAGTTTTGGAGGCATCAGAGTCTTGCTCTCTGCACCCTGGGTCCAACCACAGGGAGCGCCTATGGCCACATCCTCTTCACGCTGAGGCCTTCTGGGGGGTGGTTCTTCATGGAGCTGCCGTGGCTGAGGCTCCCTTGGCTGAATCTCTGAGGGCAGCAGCACAGGCCAAGGCTTCCTGTGAGTAATACAGCCTAAGAGGAAAGAAATGAGACTTCAAAGTCAACAGTTTTGCAAAACAAATAAACAGCACTGCAAATACGCACATATTCACTTTGCAGGGTAGAAACAACTGTGTTTAGCACACCCAGACCTTTGAGGATAGGAGGTATCTTGTTCTTCTTTTGCATTTCTCATTCAATAAGTTAATAAATACTTAGCCATTGGTTAGCATGACAAATCATTTGGAGAGGGACTTGGATCATGAGGAATCTGCTCATGAATCACTTATCTTCAATGTCAAAACCTTCAAATCAGAAACATATTCAATCTCTCTCAGTGTTTTTAGAGTACGGTCTGCAGACCATTTACTACAGAGTCATCTGACTGAGGCCACATTTAGTAATGCTTTTCAAAAATGCAGATTTCTGGCTCTCTTCCAAAGACCTGAATCAGAAACTCAGAGAGTTAGTCCT